TGCAGCCACAACTGATAGAATTAGAATTATTCGGGATACAAAGAAAAACCCCCACAGGTGACCTCAGGAGAAATACAGGCTGCTCTGGAAAAAGACGCTGTGGTTGTTTTTAAGGAGCACGACGGTGCGTGAACAAAAATGAGCTGCATGGTCGAGTTGCCAGAAGGAAGCCTTTACTGCGCCAATGCCACAAAAGAGTCTGGTTACAATATGAACGACAACACCTTGACACGCCTCATCGGGCTTTTTTTGTGGCAATGGCGCCACAAAATTCTAAAGTGAAATAAGATGATGATTTCTACTTAAACTGCTTTTATAATAATAGAATAGAAAATAAACGAACAGAAAATTGTATTTATTACAGGTACTTGTATAGCGCCATCAATTCACATATATATTGTACATTCACATCAGTCCCTAACCCTCAAGGGGAGTACAATCTAAGGTCCCTAACTCACATCCATACATACACATACTAGGTACAATTTAGACAGGAGACAATTAACCTGCCAGCATGTCCTTGGAGAGTGGGAGGAAACTGGAGTTTCAGAGGCAACTGGCACAGGGAGAACATGCAAACTCCAGGCAGGTGGTGCTGTGGTTGGGATTTGAACCAACGACCCGAGTATTTGCAGGCGGAACTGCTCACCATTAAGCCACTGTGCTGCCCTGAATAGAAAAGAATAGAATAAAATAGACTAGAAAATAAAAGAATATTTCAGGTACTTATATAGCGACGTCAATTTACGCAGAGCTTTAAATATATATTGTACATTCACATCAGGCCCCGCCCCTGAGGAGCATACAATCTAAGGTCCCTAACTCACATCCATACATACACATACTAGGGACAATTTAGACAGGAGCCAATTCACCTACCAGCATGTCTTTGGAGTGTGAGAGGAAACCGGAGTACCCAGAGGAAACCCACGCAGGCACAGGGAGAACATGTCAAATCCAGGCAGGTGGTGCCATGGTTGGGATTTGAACCAGTAACCATAGTACTGCCAGGCAGAAGTGCTAACCATTTAGCCACTGTGCTGCCACTCACATCAGTCCCTAAGCCCCAAGGGGTGTACAATCTAAGGTCCCTAACTTGCATTCATACATACACATACTAGGGCCAGTTTAGACAGGAGCCAATGAACCTACCAACATGCCTTTGGAGTGAGGGAGGAAACCCACACAGGCACATGGAGAACATGTGAAATCCAGGCAGGTGGTGCTGTGACTGGGATTTGAACCAGCAACTGTAGTACTGCCAGGCGGAAATGCTAACTATTTAGCCACTGTGTTGCCCTGAATATAAAAGAACAGAATAAAATAGACTAGAAAGTAAAAGAATAGAATAAAACAGACTACAAAATGAAAAGAAAATAGAACAGGTATTAAAAGAATAGTATAGAATAGAACAGGTATTAAAAGAATAGTGTAGAATAGAATAGAACAAAATAGAATGAAATTAGCCGTCTTCTGAAAGTTTAATTCTGAAATTTGAAAATAACGAATGTACGAAACTAATTCCAAAAACGAGTCATTCTAATATAACAAATATAACGGAAAATTATTAACTTCACGAATATGAAACGAAACAAATGTTTCCGTCCCGCAGGTCTCTGATGCACATCATGGTGTACGTTGCTGCGCATTGATATGCATCCTACCGCTTGTCTTCCTGCGAGCCGTGACACGTTTTTTGAAGGCATTTCCATTACAAACACATCAAGCAAAAAAGCGCAAAGGAGTGACTCCAACCTTTCATGAAATAAACGAAACTCTCCTTTCCACATCGCCTAACGCCACGAAAAAAAAGAGTGGCCTTTTGGGAAAGAATATGGGCCCCGGCTATGACCTAGTTCATGGGCCACAGACCATCTCGCTGCACTTGTGAAGGGATCAAGGCTCCCAACCCACCTTCCCTTTTTGTTTGTTTGTTGTTTTTTCTGTTTTGTTTTTTTGTTTTTTGTTTTTTTTAGGTGTTTAACCCTTTCCCCGCCGCGGATGCCATCGCCCTGCTACATGATATATTCTAATGTATTCCTAGACCTCGGGACGCTAACAAATATGCCGACGAGGGAAATGAGGAGGTGATGAAAGTTTACCCCGATCTTTATTTATTTGGCTCTTCGGTTAACTTCCCCAACATCCGGGGGAAAAAAGGAATATTATCAAAGCCTCTGCCTGGCATCCTGCGAGCAGCCATGGCGGCGAAGCCAGACTCTGCGGATCGGGTTCCTCCAAAAGCGGACATGAGGGAGATGAGGCACCCAGCACGTGGCACGTCTGCGTCCATACTGACAGCTAGCGCTGGGGATCGGCGCCTGTGAAGTAGAAGGAAGCTGGGATAAAGGGGGGGGGGGGCACCCGAAACCTGTAGGGAAGTGATTAAGGGGGGAGGGGGGGGGGAGAAACCTGAGTAAACTGGACTGGTGAAAATGAAGACGGGAGGAAGTGAGAGGAATATGAAAGCCGGACTTCTGGTCCCTTGCTAATCCCTGAACATGCTGCAGGATATAAGCGGACAAAGTGTAAATCTAGCACAGTTGCTTTACCCAGCAGCAGCGTCCAGATGAGATAACGCCGGTCACCGGGGAATCGCCGGCTTCTGGATCCGGGACGATGTACTATGAGGAGCCGGCAAATACTTCCTACTTAATGGAGAACATTGCTGGAAGGCTGGCCAAGGCAGTGACAACGCTTTTCCAAATGTTAAACGTAGAACTTGAATATAGAATTTGGGTGGGACGGTGTTCAACACAACTGCAGAGGAATGAGATTTGGGGTGTCTAAGCATTGGACGATTTTCATCTTTTATATCACTAGAGGGGTCACCGGCAGGAGGAAGGAGGTCCTGATTCCTCTATATGGATCTTTATATCACTAGAGGGGTCACCATCAGGAGGAAGGAGGTCCTGATTCCTCTATATAGATCTATCACTAGAGGGGTCACCGGCGGGAGGAAGGAGGTCCTGATTCCTCTATATAGATCTTTATATCACTAGAGGGGTCACCAGATTGAGGAAGGAGGTCCTGATTCCCCTATATAGATCTGTATATCACTAGAGGGGTCACCGGCAGGAGGAAGGAGGTCCTGTTTCCCCTATATAGATCTGTATATCACTAGAGGGGTCACCGGCAGGAGGAAGGAGGTCCTGATTCCTCTATATAGATCCTATCACTAGAGGGGTCACCGGCAGGAGGAAGGAGGTCCTGATTCCTCTATATAGATCTTTATATCACTAGAGGGGTCACCGGCAGGAGGAAGGAGGGTCCTGATTCCTCTATATAGATCTTTATATCACTAGAGGGGTCATCGGCAGGAGGAAGGAGGTCCTGATTCCTCTATATAGATCTTGTATCACTAGAGGGATCACCGGCAGGAGGAAGGAGGTCCTGATTCCTCTATATAGATCTATCACTAGAGGGGTCACCGGCAGGAGGAAGGAGGTCCTCATTCCTCTATATAGATCTTGTATCACTAGAGGGGTCACCGGCAGGAGGAAGGAGGTCCTGATTCCTCTATATAGATCTATATATCACTAGAGGGGTCACCGGCAGGAGGAAGGAGGTCCTGATTCCTCTATATAGATCTTTATATCACTAGAGGGGTCACCGGCAGAAGGAAGGAGGTCCTGATTCCTCTATATAGATCTTTATATCACTAGAGGGGTCACCGGCAGGAGGAAGGAGGTCCTGATTCCTCTATATAGATCTTTACTTTGACCTCATTATGAATACTGTACCCAGTTCTGTAGATCTCACTTACATACAGATATTGGTAGGATAGAACGAGTCGTCTAAACCTGTGAAGCATGATGGCGGTGATATTGATACCGAACAGCTCCAGAATCTCCCGAATTGTTTCCACACTTTGTAGAGTTATTTTTTTTTTAGCTTTTCCTCTTGGTATCTATTTAGAATACTTCTCTGTTTTTCTACATTTTCAGCCATGCGAAGAGCGCCAGAATTGATCTTCTACTTTGTTTGGACGGAGAACGCAAAGATCAGGTAAGAAGTTTATGCCGCTGCATTAAGACGCTTCATGATATAGGGGAAGAGAATCCGAACACGAAGGACTGCGCTTGCCGAATACAGGCTCGATTCCAGTGTTGGGGTCAAAGCCGGACTGAATTTCACTTTAAATCCTCCAATAAAAGCTGTAGGTGTGAATACCCGCGAGATCCGATTCTAGTGCGGGCCAAAAAAAGGGTCCTGCGCCTTTTTTGGTGTGGGTGCGATTAGAACCATACAAAATGTACGGCTCCGATCGCACCGCACACAAATCGCATGTGATTGGCAGGGAATGCGGTGCGGTTCCTGTGTGAATCACATGCGATGTACCGCGTTGCATTAGGGTGAACCCGGGATAACTATGGAATCAAACATGTCCGGCATGCGATTCCTTATGCTGGGAGGTAACTTTAGCCTGCCGGTTCTCCTGCATTGTGCACATATAACGGGAGCAGTGTATATATTATGACAACGGGACAAAGTTCCACCGAATGTTATGCATTGTATGTATGATTGTTTGATTTCTTTATGATGGAAACATAAATGTGTGAAATGATTATTCCTGAAATGCATAAAAAAAATTCCAACTCCACAAATTGTAAGTCTGTCCTCTGCAATGGTGGTTCTGGTAAACCGTTCCGAAGTCGTGCGTCACCCATGATGTTGCGCCATTGTATTCCCATTGTACAATATTCACACCGGTGCCCCCCGGATCCCCCCTTTAAGGAAACGTGTGAAATGTTCAGGAGGGCATTGAATTACGAGGGTTCTTTAAAAAGTTTCCGTGATTTTTTTTAAACTCTGGGTTTTTATATATATATATAAAGTGCGGAAACTTTTTGAAGACCCCTCGTATTTTCTTAAAGGTAAAATATTTGAAGAACTCGAGTTTGTGAGATTTTATGGCTGGGCTTGTGGTTTATTGTATGTACTTTTAACGTTCATAGTATTTAAATCTTCCCTCCAGCCTCCCCTTCAGTCTTGCACAGGTGTACCGGCTCCTCCCCTTCAGTCTTGCACAGGTGTACCTGCTCCTCCCCTTCAGTCTTGCACAGGTGTACCTGCTCCTCCCCTTCAGTCTTGCACAGGTGTACCGGCTCCTCCCCTTCAGTCTTGCACAGGTTGTCCGGCTCCTCCCCTTCAGTCTTGAACAGGTGTACTGGCTCCTCCCCTTCAGTCTTGCACAGGTGTACCGGCTCCTCCCCTTCAGTCTTGAACAGGTGTACCGGCTCCTCCCCTTCAGTCATGCACAGGTGTACTGGCTCCTCCCCTTCAGTCATGCACAGGTGTACCGGCTCCTCTCCTTCAGTCTTGCACAGGTATACCGGCTCCTCCCCTTCAGTCTTGCACAGGTGTACCTGCTCCTCCCCTTCAGTTTTGCACAGGTGTACCGGCTCCTCCCCTTCAGTCTTGCACAGGTGTACCGGGTCCTCCCCTTCAGATTTGCACAGGTGTACCGGCTTAGCCCCTTCAGTCTTCCTCAGGTGTACCGGCTCCTCCCCTTCAGATTTGCACAGGTGTACCAGCTCCGCCCCTTCAGTCTTCCTCAGGTGTACCGGCTCCTCTAGTGGCCAGTAGGGGCGCTCTCATTGGAGAAAGGGATGGCAGCTGGTACAGTGGCCAGTAGGGTCACCCTTGGTTGACAGAGGGATGGGCGCTAGCTGTGTTGCCAGTAATGGCGCTCTCATTGGGCAAGGCAATGGCAGCTGGTGGAGCTTAATTAGCCAGGAAGTCAGGGAAAATTGGGCTCCAGCAACGAAGTCAAATGAAATCAGAGAGGGGCGCAGAGGCTTCTTTTCTGGATAATAAATATATATCAGCGCCCCCCCCCCCCCCCCCCCCCTTGTGGTCTCTGTTCTTAAGCAGCACATTTTACTTTGAAATCTGTGAGATGCAGTACAGGCCCATTGTGAAGAGCGATCCGTTTGACCCTCCAAGTCTTGCAGAGCGTTCCCGGGTCCTGGCGGCTCCTGAGCTCCAGTATGTAGAGCGGAATGAGGAGACAGCGGGGGGCGCTCCGCTCACCGATCTTCTCCCGTGTAGCTGGGGGGGTTCAGGAGACGTTTCCTCGCTCTCCCCAGCAGGCAGCTCATTGTGAAGCAGATCAACAGGAAAGCAGAGATACTTCTCAGGGCTCTCTGTACGTTTATCCAAGAAGGCGTCTCATCACAGAGGGCCAGAGATGCAACCATTTCCCCTTCATTGTCCTCCTTTCCTCCAGGAGAGACTCTGCTTCCCATTCCTGATCTCTGCTTCACATTCCTGATCTCTGCTTCACATTCCTGATCTCTGCTTCCCATTCCTGATCTCTGCTTCATATTCCTGATCTCTGCTTCCCATTCCTGATCTCTGCTTCACATTCCTGATCTCTGCTTCACATTCCTGATCTCTGCTTCCCATTCCTCATCTCTGCTTCATATTCCTGATCTCTGCTTCCCATTCCTGATCTCTGCTTCCCATTCCTGATCTCTGCTTCCCATTCCTGATCTCTGCTTCATATTCCTGATCTCTGCTTCCCATTCCTGATCTCTGCTTCCCATTCCTGATCTCTGCTTCATATTCCTGATCTCTGCTTCCCATTCCTGATCTCTGCTTCATATTCCTGATCTCTGCTTCCCATTCCTGATCTCTGCTTCCCATTCCTGATCTCTGCTTCCCATTCCTCATCTCTGCTTCATATTCCTGATCTCTGCTTCATATTCCTGATCTCTGCTTCCCATTCCTGATCTCTACTTCATATTCCTGATCTCTGCTTCCCATTCCTGATCTCTGCTTCATATTCCTGATCTCTGCTTCCCATTCCTGATCTCTGCTTCCCATTCCTGATCTCTGCTTCATATTCCTGATCTCTGCTTCCCATTCCTGATCTCTGCTTTCCATTCCTGATCTCTGCTTCCCATTCCTGATCTCTGCTTTCCATTCCTGATCTCTGCTTCCCATTCCTCATCTCTGCTTCCCATTCCTGATCTCTGCTTCATATTCCTGATCTCTGCTTCCCATTCCTGATCTCTGCTTCCCATTTCTGATCTCTGCTTCCCATTTCTTATCTCTGCTTCCCATTCCTCATCTCTGCTTCCCATTCCTGATCTCTGCTTCACATTCCTGATCTCTGCTTCCCATTTCTGATCTCTGCTTCCCATTTCTGATCTCTGCTTTCCATTCCTGATCTCTGCTTTACAGTCCTGATCTCTGCTTTACAGTCCTGATCTCTGCTTTACAGTCCTGATCTCTACTTCCCATTCCTGATCTCTGCTTCACCATAAAGAGGACCTTTCATTCCCTCTACGGGGCTGCAGGAGTACCTTTTGTCATGGTGTCACAATATATAAAATATATTGACCTTTAAAAAAAATGTCCTTCAGTTCCAGTCCAGTATCTGTGCCTAGGATAAGATGTCATCGGTCTGCTGCAGGCAGGAGGTATCATTTCCTCAGTCCCCCCCCTACCCCAGTGATCAGACTGTACATTTTAACTTTGTAGCAGGTCACAAGGCTGCAGCAGGGGCTGATCTGTGTCAGACATTTGTACACAAACACCAGGATTTACATGATTGTGTCATCTCTGAGCCGGCATCTCAGTCCAGGAAGTAGATGGTGACCCTGGATGATGCCTGAACAGGGATGGTGCCGCCCTTCTGGAGAGAAAAGCAGATGCAGGCATTGTCAGGGGAAGTCTGGTGATCTCTGGGAGAGGGAATAAATACCCGGCTGTGCTGAATGATACAATATTTCCTGATGTTATCATTGCTGATGTTGATGCACCAACTGACCCCACAACCCGTCAGATCTCTATCATTTATGAGTCCGCCATTATCTATGTGGAATGTGTTGGATGGTCTGTGTGGTTTGTTTCCTTGAAAGCCGAGAAACATGAGAGCTGCTAAAAATATAAATTAAAAAAAATTAAATAAATCTAGCTGCTATTTACTGTCTCAGAGCAGGTGGAGAGCAAAATTGCATGCAAAGGGGTGGGGGGGGGGCGGGAGCCCAAAGAGGGAGAGGCGCAGAGTGCCGCTGGTGACGCAGGGAGAGGCGCAGAGTGCCGCTGGTGACGCAGGGAGAGGCGCAGAGTGCCGCTGGTGACGCAGGGAGAGGCGCAGAGTGCCACTGGTGACGCAGGGAGAGGCGCAGGGTGCCGCTGGTGATGCAGGGAGAGGCGCAGAGTGCCGCTGGGGACGCAGGGAGAGGCGCAGAGTGCCGCAGGTGACGCAGGGAGAGGCGCAGAGTGCCGCTGGTCAGCAGGGAGAGGCGCAGAGTGCCGCTGGGGACGCAGGGAGAGGCGCAGAGAGTGCCGCTGGGGACGCAGGGAGAGGCGCAGAGTGCCGCTGGGGACGCAGGGAGAGGCGCAGAGTGCCGCTGGTGACGCAGGGAGAGGCGCAGAGTGCCGCTGGTGACGCAGGGAGAGGCGCAGAGTGCCGCTGGGGACGCAGGGAGAGGTGCAGAGTGCCGCTGGTGACGCAGGGAGAGGAGCAGAGTGCCACTGGTGACGCAGGGAGAGGCGCAGAGTGCCGCTGGTGATGCAGGGAGAGGCGCAGAGTGCCGCTGGTGACGCAGGGAGAGGCGCAGAGTGCCGCTGGGGACACAGGGAGAGGCGCAGAGTGCCGCTGGGGACACAGGGAGAGGCGCAGAGTGCCGCTGGTGACGCAGGGAGATTGATCGCTCAGTCCTGCACAGTGCAAGATGAAGTTGAACAACGCGGAGTCGGGAGAGGCCTCCATCTTGGTTGCCCCCCCTCCCTCGCAGCATTGTGCCCATGGTGGGGTGCCTCTGCCCGGCCCCGATGTGACTGAGCCCATCTACAAATCCCACCATTCCTAGGCCACATTGGTGGTAGTTGGTGTTGCTCAAGTACTGCTCCCCCGTTCTATCCACACCCAAAAATTCCTATTTTTTTCGGGGATCCCCCCGTGTGGGGGGGAGAGACAATCCGTTTGGTGGGGTTGCCGCCAGCCCTGGTTTACATTCGCTCTCTAGGGACCTCTCAAGGAGGGAATGGTGTTTGATGAGCACATCTCTCGTATTCCGCTTTGTAGGCATTGATCTCCGGCTCTTCAGGTGGCGCCCCCCCCTTCAGGTGGCGTCCCCCTCCGTACACCGCTTTGACCGAGTGGCCACTTCAGAGCGCGCCCACGCCACATTCGCCGCACCGCTGTGTGTACTTTCCTCTGTTTATTCTGCAGCGTGATGGAAGACGATTCAGGCGTGCCGTACAGGTAGAGAGCCGGGCCCCCACCTCCCCACACACGCTCTTATCGGGGCCCCGGAGGCGCCAGGCGTGGAGCAGCGCACAAAAGAGCGAAAAAAAAAAAATCAGAGAGTGGCCAAACGACAACCAATATTTGACTTTGGCAGAAAGTAAACTCATAAAAAGCCTTCCACTGCATGTTTACCGAAAGCTCGCTACGGCCGGGATCTGCGTGGAAACCACACGTCACCGTGCGCAGTGCGAGGGATCTGCGTGGAAACCACGCGTCACCGGGCGCAGTGCGAGGGATCTGCGGGGAACCACGCGTCACCGTGCGCAGTGCGAGGGATCTGCGGGGAACCACGCGTCACCGTGCGCAGTGCGAGGGATCTGCGGGGAACCACACGTCATCGAGCGCAGTGCGAGGGATCTGCGTGGAAACCACACGTCACCGTGCGCAGTGCGAGGGATCTGCGGGGGGAACCACACGTCACCGAGCGCAGTGCGAGGGATCTGCGGGGAACCACGCTTCACTGGGCGCAGTGCGAGGGATCTGCGGGGAACCACGCTTCACTGGGCACAGTGCGAGGGATTGCGGGGAACCACGCTTCACTGGGCACAGTGCGAGGGATTGCGGGGAACCACACGTCACCGGGCGCAGTGCGAGGGATCTGCGGGGAACCACGCGTCACCGGGCGCAGTGCGAGGGATCTGCGGGGAACCACACGTCACCGAGCGCAGTGCGAGGGATCTGCGGGGAACCACGCGTCACCGAGCGCAGTGCGAGGGATCTGCGGGGAACCACGCGTCACCGGGCGCAGTGCGAGGGATCTGCGGGGAACCACACGTCATCGTGCGCAGTGCGAGGGATCTGCGGGGAACCACACGTCACCGAGCGCAGTGCGAGGGATCTGCGGGGAACCACGCGTCACCGGGCGCAGTGCGAGGGATCTGCGGGGAACCACACGTCACCGGGCGCAGTGCGAGGGATCTGCGGGGAACCACACTTCACGGGGCGCAGTGCGAGGGATCTGCGGGGAACCACACGTCACCAGGCGCAGTGCGAGGGATCTGCGGGGAACCACACGTCACCGGGCGCAGTGCGAGGGATTGCGGGGAACCACGCGTCACCGGGCGCAGTGCGAGGGATCTGCGGGGAACCACGCGTCACCGGGCGCAGTGCGAGGGATTGCGGGGAACCACACGTCACGGGGCGCAGTGCGAGGGATCTGCGGGGAACCACGCGTCACCGGGCGCAG